TTTGGAGTATGTCTGCTCCATGGCATTCCAAATCTCCTTTGCAGAATTAAGAAACATGCAAGTATCAGTGATTTTTGGGATCATGGAGTTCCATCGCCATGCCATGATCATAGAGTCCTCTTCATCCCATTTTGTAAATTTGGGATCTTCTTCTTTAGGAGCATCTTCAGTCAAGTGGTTAGTTTTCCCTTTACCTTTCAAAGTTCTATGAACAAGTTGGGCCCATTTCAAGTAATTCTTCCCATTCAATCGGTAGGCAGTGTTGAGGTTCTGCAGCTGTTCCTAAGTGTTCTGAGACTCAATATTCACCACTTCAGTAATTGGGTCTACCATGTCCACCATAGTACAACGACCCTAATGCAGTGAGAATGTATTTGATTGTTGCGACAACAACTAAGAAACAACACTGCAAATCACAGAAGCAATGAAGGCTAGCTGTCCTAAAAAAATGATTGACAGCAGTGAAGGCTATCCAAGAATGAAGGCTGTCGTCTAGGGTTTTGGTTTGCATAGTCAAAGGCAGCTCCTAGAATTTGAGAGCTCTGATGCCATCTCAAAATTTAGGGTAGAATAATTTTTCTTAATAATCTGAATTGATGGGTTCAATCAAATAAATAGACAAGTAACAGAAACAATCCCTAAAATTTAGGGATTAAGATAAACTACAAATTAGGAAAAGATAAACTAATATATCTAAACTATATCTTAAAATATCTTATCACAACTAATAAAACAATTCTAACATTACTTTTTTTGTTTAAGATATTGGGGGCAAAAGAAAAATGTTCCACAACTACATAAGGAGAAAGCCATAGTTAGTTGATCAAACAAAGAATCTGAATTTAAATGATTAATTATGAATATGGCTTTGGTGATAGATAAGCCTATATAGGTGGCGTGAGATTCCAATGCCTTTGTCATATCTTGTTTGATTCCCTTGTATATAAATAGTAATGATTTTTTTATTGAAAATAATATTAGAAAATCATATTTGAACATCTCAATTGTTTAGTTATGATTGTTGTAAGTATACTTTTTATTTGTAAATTTAGTAATAAAATAACTCATTATTATCATTAATATTAAATTTTTTTATTTATCATTTTGGGTATTTGAATGAAGTCTTTATGTTAAGGGATAATGCAAACTTGTATAAATTTCTGGAGCCTTAATCCATTTAAAGGTCAAGGGACAAGAAAAAAATCACATACATACAAAAATTAATACATGATTCCAAAAAATAGTGTTATTTGACACCTTACATTTATGGGTAAGTACACATGATTAATTTTCTTTAAAATTATATTTGTTTTGTCACTAATTACTTCATAATGTAGTGTTCATTGACAATTATTGATTATTTGTCCTATGGACAATGTTATCGTGTGTTTGTGCTCGTTGCATAAGAAATCAAATAATGAAATTACTACACTATTATACAATTGGATGTTTATAATCATATATATCATATTTTCTTTATGGATTATATTATTTATTTGAATCTTATACTTTACATTCATTGTTGGCAGGTAACAACTAATCACATAAAAGAAGCTTCATTGAATTAACTCACGTGTAAGTACTTTAAATTAGATATTTGAATTACTAATATTTGAACTTGATATTTGAACTTGATATTTGAACTTGATATTTGATGTTTGAATTATATCGCACAATTAATGATTACTAATATTTAAATTTAATATTCAATTATATAGTCTCATAAACAAACCAGAAATTATGAGTGTGGTTATCATATAATGAAACTTGCTCACTATTAATGCAAATATAGTTGATTTTGAATTACAACATTAATTTTAATCTTTATAAACTCTGATTTAATGCTATGTTGTTAATTTAAACGTGTACTTCTATGGAGTAAAAATCATTAACCTAGGAGTAGGCATGGCAATCTAATCCGCCCCCGTGGGTACCCGCCCGAACCCGCCCCGATTTGGATGGGGAAATCCGTGTTTATCGGGTTCGGGTTCGAGTTCGGGTTTTCCCCGATTGATAAAATCGGGG